GAAAGCCAAATCCAGGATGAGCCCTTAGAGTGGGCATCTGGCCAGAACGGGAGGCAAGAGTCATAGGAATTAGAGGTCCGGGAAATTTCATCCTGTTATGTAGGGTCACAGGCAGGCTGGCAACCCACGGTGAGAGCTGACACTTGATGACCCCAGATTGTGGTCAGAAAGGAAGATCTAGAGGGAAAGGAGAACAACTGTTAGCTCAGCAGCTACTTGGCATCTCGCTGGAGAAGGCCTAAGCCTGTTTGATTAAATCAGACCCACCCATGATAACTGCCCATTGATTAACTTAAAATCAGCTGATTAGGGACTTTAATCACATCTGCAAATTCCTTCCTGAAGCACCTTGGGGAAGGTACTTGTGTGCCACAAGTCAGCCACTGCCCCCCTTCCCTCAAGCAGCTCTTGAGAGGGATTACTACCTGTGGCCCACCCTAAATAAAAGCACATTAGGAAGGGAATCTGGGAGCTGTAATTCAGCCTTGACAAGTTGCTACATCAAAAGTCATTACATCTATAAATCCCCTTTTTTCCCTTCTAAGGTAAATTTGGGCTGGGTTTCTATTACTTGGGATGAAAAGGCCACTGAGTCAGTTGCCATTTATTGAGTGCCTTATGCATGATATTTCACTTAACCCTTATACATGCGTAAATGAGATACGCACTATTGATAATTTTGGAGACCAAGGCTCACAGAGGTTAAGAAATTATTCAAAGGCACAAGCTCTAAGCCAAAGTCTGCCTTTCTACCGCCAATTCTTTAATGGCGGTCTGCCAAAAGGAGCCATCCCTGTCGGTGTATGAATTATTTTTACAGTTTGGAAGCTGACTTTAACAAAATTATTATTATTATTATTATTATTTTCACCTAAAAGAGGTCCAAAGCTAAGGTACTTTGTTCAGCTGATGACAGAACAAGGCCAAGAAAAAGACTTTAACTTCATGTCCCTATGCCTGGCCTACATGTGTTATTTGACTGATGTAATCAACTGTTTGATCTGTTTCCCCTGTCATGTTTGTGTCTAATTTTAGAGGGGAGGGCTTATTTTTTAAGGTTTTAGCTTTTATTTGGAAGCCTCTTCCTACCTGAAATAGCTTAGATCTTTATCTCCCCTTCAAACCTCAGCCACAGTCACAATGGCAAATGGCTATGGTATAAACTCGCAAGAGTGATCAAGAAAAGAGAGAAAGCCCAAATGATCAGGACTGAAAGAGGAGACATCATTACAGATCTGATAGGTATCACAAAGATAATCAGAGTATATTATGAATAATGTTATGCCAACAGATCCAACGACTTCAATGATTGAAAATAGACACCGTGGGTGAGACTTTTGAGCTGGGACTCCAGCAAGCTGATGCTCCTAAGTGTCAAATCCAAAGGGCACTTTGGGGTCTGTCTTGGCCCATCTGAGGCATTTGACACTGCTGACTGCTGCTTCTTAAAATCTTCCTCTTCTGGCTCCATGAAACACTCTTAGTGTTTTTCCTTTTAAACCTCTTTCCTCCTCCTTCTTTGTGCTTAATTTACAGTACCTTCTAGTGACTCTCCTGGGTCCTCAAGTCTTTCTATTGCACATTTGTGTACAGGGCTTTAACTACCAGTTGTATGTAGATGACTCCCAAATCGGCTGCCCAAATTTCTGTACTAAACCCCGAATAGACTAACTCTCAAACTTCTGTCTAGACCATTGTCTATGCTGATCAACATCTGCCTGCCACCCCTGGGATGTCCTTAGACTCCCAAACTCAACTTTCCCTCCTCATCAATAATATCCAATTTTCACTTGGGAGGTACCCCTCCCCCATCCCAATCTATGTAGGCCAGAAAGAGTCCCCTCTTGTGGGACCCCATGTTACCCTCTCCAGTCCATGCTCCTCATGGGTGACTGAATGGTTGTCCTCCCAATCACATCCCTTTATGGTGGTTTTAAATCCAGGGTCCAAATTCTTTGACGTTTCTCCATTGAGAGGTGGGTGTCTCCCACTTGAATCTAGGCAGGTTTGTGACTGCTTCAGCCAAATAGAGTCACAGAAATGGTGCTGTGTGACCTCTGAGGTCGGGGCAGAAGGTCTACACTGCTTCCATGGTCCTGCAGTGCTCTGCTGTCTGGAGGCGCCCTCTGCGGAAGTTCCCTCCCAGGGCCCTGCCGCCATATTGGGAGAAGTCCAAGTCACCCGGCGAGGCCGTGTGTAGGTGCTCTGGCCAATGGTCCCGATGAGCCAGCTTTCCAGTCATCCAGTGCAGGCACCAGACCCAGTCATCATTTTGGAAGTGAATTCTCCAGTCCCAGCTGTTGCAGCCGCCGCCACTTGAGCCTTCGCAGCTGAGACTCCAGACAAAATGGAGCAAAGAAGAGCTGCCTCAGCTGTGCTCTGTCCATTTTCCAGATCCACAAAATTTGTGATCAGAACAAGATGGTTGGGCCCAGCCACTAAATTTTAGGCACTTTGATGCATAGCACATAATAGTAACTGGGTCACTCATGCCATACCCCTGCCTCAAATATTCCAGTGACTCCCCACCTTGCCAGGAGGATGAAGTCCATCTCTTTCGCCCTTCGTTACTAGGTTCCTGACCCCCGTCCCGAGCCACCTCCTGTCCCTGTCCTCATGAGACCTGGTCCCAGCCATACTGCAATTCCTGGAATGTCCCTTGTCCTCACAGCTTCCGTGACTTTGTACCCGCTGTTGCTCTACTTGGACGTCTTTCTGACCTCCAGATCGGAATTGTCTGGAAACTGGGGGATATAAATCCACTTCCTTCCCCAAAATCCTTTCTACCAGGAATAATCGAATTTGTGTGGCCCTCAAACAGTTCAGCTGCTCTGTGAAAGGATATTTTAAAGAGTCTAGGTCTCTGAGCAGCTATACCGATTCTGGAGGCAGATTGCCAGCATTCAAATCCACACTCTATCACTTACTAGTGGGTGACTTTGTGCAAGTTCCTTAAATGCACTGTGCTCCATTTCCCCCATCTGTGAAATGGGGTAATGCATAATACAGAGTCCAGCACAAACAACTCCCCTTTTTTATTACAAAATCATAAGTGCATAATTCTGTAACATAACAATATCACTCAAGCACACCATATGATGTTTTAGGTAAAATGTTCAAATTAAAGCACTAAATTACTGGCATTAAACCCGTATTATTTCCCTGCCAACCTCACTCAAGCAGGCCTTACTTCTGCTGGACTCTGTACTTCACAGAGTTGTGATAAGGATTAAAGGAGTTAAAATGTGCAAGGTGCTTAGAATGGTGCTTGCTGGGAGTGCTTGAGTGAATAAGCGTTTCTTTACCATAAACCTCCTGCAAATAGTCAACTTTAGCTACTGCTCACGTCTCATTCAGCATCACCTTCTTCGGAAGACCCGCCCTGGTACCTCCTCCACTCCAGCGGCTTCCACAGACAGGCTCCTGTGTTCTCGGCACCTTCAGCGTCGCCCGGTTACATTTGCCACTGCCTGTAATTCTATCACTGAGGTTGTTAGTGGCCTTCATCTATGAACTCCTTCACGGCAGGGGCTGGGTTTTACGCTTTCTCCCCAGAAGCTAAGTCGTATTAGGCCTTCAGTAAATGTGTATTAAATTGAATCTTGCTTTGATTTTACACAGTAACTCACGCCCAGAAAAGGCTAAATGAGTTCTTCTAAGTCATACAGGAGGCTGAATAGAGACTAAAACTTTCAATCCTACTCACTTCTGACTGTCAGCCCTAAGCTGGTGACTCTGTGTGTCTGCCAGTATCACCACTAGTCCCTGCTGACCATCTGCTTCTAAAATGATTAAATCAGCACCCACAAAATAATCCATGGTCTCCTGGCATCCTTCCCGTGAGGCCGTCCCTCAGTCACTCTTCCTCTGGCAGAACGGATTCTTGGGAAGAAAGTGGATTTGCATCCTTCCAATTCTTCACATGATCTGCCGAATTTCTGGATAATTCCAATGCATCGAACCCCTCCCTGACGTAAAAGGCATTGCTTTCATCTGTTCAGTTTCTCCAGATGTGGGGGTGAGGGCTGCATTATTCACAGCATCTAAATCAATATGGGGCCACCTGCTGCCGGCTTGGACCGATTTCTCTTGCTTCTACCAACTGCCTTATCGTCAACACCAGACGGCGCTGTGTTCTCGCTGGCTTTTTAACCACCACGTCGAGCACACACAGGGCCAGGTTTTCCTCCAGGACGGTTCAGGCAGGGCATGGTACCCAGCATTGCCCCTATCCAGTAGCAGGCCCATGACTGTCCGCTTTTTGCGTGTGTGCGCACGCGCGTGCGCCTAGGGAAGGGTCCCATTTTAATTAGTCTTGCGGAGACGTGCTTGAAAAGCTTTATGTTCGATTGCCAAGCCTATGATCGCTTTTGCTGGGTGACACAAGTCCATTTACATCAGAATGAACTGAAGGCCTACTAGGCACGAGGCATCTCGCGTTCCTCGTCTCCTCCCTAACGTTCGGTACCTCTTCCAGATTAAAGGACTCACACTCGAGGCTTTCCCCGACCCTGCCAGCCGAGAACACACGGCCAGTTCTCAGTGTCCTTGGCAGAGGTTCCCGCCAAGTCCTCCTCTTTAGGGAGGGCGAGGTATGTCTATCCCTCCCAGTATCTGGACAACCAGCTCCCTGTGCGTTCCTCTTCTACTTCCTTCCCTTCGCTCTGGTTTGTAAGCGGTACTTTTAGCGGGGTGGGGTGGGGGGCGGAGAGAAGGGCGGGTAAGGGGCCCGGCGGGGAGGGGCGTCGGAGTGCTGTCACCGAGTGTCACGCCGCCCTCTCCGCCCCTCAGCCGGGGGTGTGGGAGCGCAGCGGAGCGCGCGGCAGAGGGCCGGGCGCGTGGGGACGCGGGAGTGCCGGTTCCCTGCCAGCTGCGGGCACCCGGAGCACGCTGGCCGCCTGAGCTCGGCGCGGAGCCCGGAGCCGGCCGCCCCCCGGCCCCTGTGCGCTGGGAGGCAGCCCCGGCCGCAGCAGCCCGGCTCCCGGGGAGCGCGCCCTGCCATGGAGTCTTCGCACAAAGACGCCGAGACGGCGGCGGCTGTGGCGGCGGCGGACACCCGCGGGGCGTCCTCGTCCAGCGGGGTGGTGGTGCAGGTCCGCGAAAAGAAGGGCCCCCTGCGCGCCGCCATCCCCTACATGCCCTTCCCGGTGGCCGTCATCTGCCTCTTCCTCAACACTTTCGTGCCAGGACTGGGTAAGACACCACGGCTGCGACCCCCGCGCCCCGGACCCTGCCGCGGGAGGGCAGGCTGGGGAGGGGACTGGGGAAGATCCTCGGGTGGCGCCTGCGGCTGCAAGCGCGCCGGCCCGCGCTCCCAGTGCCCCCTGGCAGGTGGCAGCAGCTCGCGGAGCAGGCGCCCTGGAGGGCGCAGGGCCGCCTGACCCGCCTTTCACCTTCTCCCACCTGTTGACGAGGTGGTCCGGCCCGGAGAGCTGGAAACTTTGCTGGGAATTTTGGAGCCCGCGGGCGCCGGCCCGACCGCTCCCCTCTGGGCTCCCCAAATCCTGCCCCTTCTCTCTGCCACGCACCCTCCCGCGAACCCCTTTCTCCGAGGGCCCGGGGCCCGGGCAGAAGGAGCACTGCGGCCACGCGTGGCGGCGATCAAGTCCCGGGAGTCCGAGAAGTCGGCAGAGCTGGGGAAAGGGGCGCAAGCCGGGCTTAGGAGACACGCTGCAGCCCCCACTGCGTCGGGGTGCGGACCGTGCAGGAGCGACAGCTCTTTAGCCAGAGCCTCCTTCCCCTCCTTTCGGAGAGCCTGCAATTCCGCCAGCACCCGCGGGCCGCCAAGGGCATGGAGGATGGTTAGTTTGGATACCTGTGGGTTTGGACCGCACATGGCCAGAGGTGACCCCACACTCCTTCCCATGCCTTCTGTTTCTTGCCGTGGACAGTGCACCCATGTCATTCTGTGTTGGACTCTGGCTGCCTGGAGGGACTCTGATGGCACCCGTGCTCCAAATTTTAAAACAGGGGCCCATCACAGAGAGCGGGGTGCCGAAAAGTGAGCGAGAGAGGGGATGAGAAGTTTTCCTGATCCTCTCTCTTTTATCCCCAACCCCAAAGCTCTGTCTGCATGTTCTTGCTCCACTCCCAGCTTGCATGCTTGGCACTCGCTGTTCTTCCTGCTAAGCGGTCCCCCCTCTCCAATTCCTTGCAGGGAGGAGGGGGAGGCCCCGCGGTGCCCTCTCCAGTAGCAAGCCTGCCTCCGCGGGCCAGCCAGTTGCCAACATCTGGCTCCAAGTTTCCAAGAACCGAGGTCAGCTAGAAGTGCCTTTCTGTTGTGCTTTGGCCTTTCTCACGGCCTCACAGCGCTGGGAGAGGCCCCCCCCACCCCCACGCAGGACATGTCCACTTCCCTTTGCTTGTCTTTGTGCCTACCTGGCTGTGGCGGCCAGAGCAGCGCATCAGTCTGAGCAGAGGGTTAGGTGGTCTTGAGCTGTGCTGGGCGATGCCTCCAGCAGCCTAAGCCCATCCTTGTTGGGGGCCGGCTCTGGCGCTCTGCACATCTAGACTCTGTGAGGAGGTCAGCGGCCGCTGATTTAGCGGCCTCAGAGATTCCCACCTGCTGGAGTGTAAACACATTGCCTGTCCCTCTCTCTGGGATGTGACAATCAAGAGCAGGGCTGCATCTTGATTCCACTTTTTTTTTTTTTTAAAGTGGTGAAGTAAATGCCACCTTATGGTTTTTTGAGGAAACAAATGAGTTGGTGCCAGGCGGGAGGGACTGTACCAAGCAAGTCCCACCTGGGCGCGGACGCCACCCCCAGGAGCCAGCAGTGCCAGCCGGGGCCCGCCCTCCTGGGTCTCACCTCATTAGGTGCCTCCGCTGCCACTCCCCGAGCCCCCTGCCCCCTACACACAGCCGCTTCCCACCGAGCTTTCTCCTCTCAGAATCCTATGGGATTTTTGTTAGAAAACTTTAAGAAGCCAGGAGAAAAATCAGGAAACTACAAAAGTAATAAAACAGGTGAGTCATGGGTGTCGAGACTTCTGAATTTTCAGTAATTGAAACCAGGCACTTTTTTTTCCCCCATTTTGTTTTGGCTGTCCCTGTGGAGCTGACTGTGCGCACGGACCCCTGTCCCTCTCCACGCCGAAGGGGTCCTGATTCTTGGCAGGGTTTCTCGTCTGTGAATCCGGGCGCCTGTCTCTCTGGGCTGCTGGGAGGATGGGATGAGATTATTTACAGCTCAGGGCTCGGGCGCCCTGGGTGGAGGTGGTGGGTCCCTCTTGTGCTTTGCGCTTCTGCAGGACAGACACTGGTTCCGTCCCTGTGTGCGTGCGCACGTGTGCGTTTCTGGACCTTTCTTCTAAGTGTTTCTTGATCCCTCTGCTCGCCGCAACCGGCAGTGCAGTCCTACATAACAAACCAGCCCAGGCAAAACTTGCGGGCCATCCCCCGCTCTGCGCCTCCAGGTCCCCTGGCCTCCTCTCAAGCTCCTTTGGAAACTCAGATTCAGTCTGGCTGTGCCCTCTGAGGAAATGCAGATACTTTGAATCCATTCACTCATTCATTCTGCAACCTCAGCGCACCCCCCACGTGCCAGGCATGGGGGATGCAATGACGAATAAATCAGCCAAGACGTCATAGATTACTGAGAGCAATTGATGCAAACTTTGTTTAAATTTGGTAAGTGCTGTGATGGCAGCAGAAACTGTTTTAGCCACAGTTAATGCTTCCTGGGTTGGGGGTCAGAGAAAGCCTCCCCGAGGAAGTAGCTTTAGGCGAGACCTTGCAGGGAAGATCTGTCATGTGGCCCCAAGCTCTTCCTATCTTCATTCCACCCCTACTCTCTGAAAACTGGGTGGACCATAGGACTCAAAATCTCTCTTTGAAGCTTCCTTCCCTCCTGGGGAGTGGATGGAAAGCAGAAATGACTTATGATCTCTCAGACTCCTCATCGGAACAATAAAAACAAATTTTAAAAGTGGATGATGGTAAAGAGAGTCACCCCAGTCCGATTCTACTGGTCAAGACCGCTGCCTGTACCTTCAGAGTCCCACAGGTCGGGCACGTGTAAGGATAGTCACAGTTCCTCGTGTACGTAAGGCAAGTGCATTGTTATGCCCCTGACAAGCCAGAGAGTTTGTCTCTTGGTCAGGGGTAAAGTTACGCTTTCATATTTAAACATTATATCTATCTGGATTGACTTGGTGAAATGAAAATGTTGGTAACTCCAATAGTGGCAAGGAAAGTGGGATGGAGGAGAGCTTCCATTGACCGCTCACCGTTCCGCCAGACTGACGTTGGCCATTAATCTACTGTTGAATATTCATAAACATTTAATCTCTGCCTAATAAGCCGCCTCCTCGTTGACCCTCATCTGAAGTCTCCCTTCCCCTGTAAGAGCACCACAGGCTGGCTCAGCTCCTTCTCTCTCTTCCCTCTTGTCCTAAGGCTCCGATATTTGCCATGACCTCCCTTACGGCATCTTTTGTATTGTTGACTGTCTGTTACTATTTCAAGAGTTTATTCTTTGTCTGTCGATATATAAGTTCCTTGAAGCAGCAGCCGTTTTAAATTTCTCCTTGACGTTGTGTATCATTTGTGGATATGTATTAACTAGAATTAAACTCCAGGAATAGGCATTAGAAATCATCTGGTCTACCAGCTTTATTTTATATAGAAGCGAGGCAGGCTAGGACCTGGAAGGTTATATTCAGGTAAGAACTGATGTACTTTATATCCTACTCAACCTTTTAAAGGAAGTTATTAGAGGATGTATTTTAAAAAGACAACAGTAAGCCAAGAAAGAAGATAAGAGATCCAGGAGATAATGTATTGAACTCAAGGCAGCCATGAAAGGCAACCCCAAGATAAAATTGTTCGCAGGCCTGGAGAGCAGTTGCTCTTCATTAGACTGGGAGGATGGAAGGTGCCAGGAAAGTGGTCTCTGAGGATGGGGTGAGGAGGGACATTGCACAGAGCTGAGAGTATCATCGTCATACTGCAAGAAATTGAAGTTGTGATAGGACACAGAAGGTAAGCAAGAGAAACAGAAGGAGATTAAAAACTCCTAAGTAAAGACAAAAAGTTATGCAAAAGCATTAGGATCCCAAAATGAAGGAACCTGCCCAATGAGATCAGGAGGTCAGCAGGTTTCAATAAATAAATAAATAAATAAAATAAAGATTTCAGACAACAAAGAGAAAATTTGGAAGATATTAGGGATATGGTGAAGAAGGCACATGTTTCTTCTACTGACAACAGGAGTGAGAGGTCATCAACAACTTCCAGAAAAACAAAAAAATTTTTCATGAAAGACATGCCTCTCCTATGAAGCAAATAAACCCATGGCCTGATTTTAAGCAAGTGGCGGAATGTGAGAAAGGCTCTTTTAAGTGTGTAGGGTCTGTCATTGGACCAGTGGTGCACAATATGGGCTCTTAGGTTCTCTTTGACTCTGCAGCAAAGACTATTTGCTTAGTCATAATGATATAAAGGCTGCTCAGTGGTTTTCAACTTCTAAAACCAAATACAAAGCACCGAAGACTACTTAAAATAGCCATAAAGGAGGATATAAAGATTTTCCACCTTGACAATATGAAATGAAAAGCACAGCTTGGAGAAGACGGCAAAGAGAAGACAAGAGAAGGACAAGCAATTGTGATAGATTGAACTGTTGCTTCCAATTGTTCACTGTGCTCCCATGGCTCAGTCACAGCTTCTGTGGGCACAGAATACTTCCTTCCCTGCCCACTGGTGTCTGGTTTGGGCATGCGATTTGCTTTGGCCAATTGAATATGAATGAGAATGGCATAAACCATGCCTGAGCAGACACTCCAAGAGGCATTGCGAGGTCCTGCCATTGTTCTGGTGCCTCTCTCAGGAGAATGGCAGGTCTCAGCTGGGGGTTGCTCTTCATTCTGGTTCCTGAAAGAAAACGGACATCAGAAGCAGAGCATCACATGTCATGTGAATGAGAAATTAGGCTGAGTTGCTAAGAATTTTCTGTTGTGTCTAGTGTTAGTGTCCTAGCACCCCCGCGAAAGCTGACTAACATGTAGAGGTAGGGTAAGCGCTGTGAATACCCCTCTCATATGAAGTGGGGGATCGAGAGATGCTGTCTGTAGCTGACAGACTGAAAAAATAAAGGTTGCCACGGTAATCAGTAGGTGAACTGAAATAGTGATCGGCTGGGACAATAGCAATTGCGCTGGGATAACGCTGGGACGGTGCCAAATGGATGTGG